GAGAAAGGCTTCATCCTGCTCAAGTTGCTGTAGCCTCATAAAGTAGAAATTCCTATTATGAAACTTTTGGACACCTCTAGGCCCCAACACACCCTTCTTGACTCAAGCCGACTGCTGAAATCTTTCTCTGAATCTCTCTTAGAATATTTTTGCCAGCATTGCAATCAGTTTTCATTAAAGTTTCCCAGAATGCTGAGTAGCAATGTCACGTTGAATGCACTGTGGGACATAAAAAAAGGGAAACATTGTGATTACTATTGGAGCTAGCCCTGCAGAAGGCCACCAAACTGGACTTGTCTAGCTCTATCAAAAGGTGCTTTGCCAAGGTGCCCTTCAAAATGCAGAACTGTCCCTGCACCAAAAGATGGCTGCCGGCAGCTTGAAAGGGTGTCTCAGGCTGTAGTGTCAGTTTTGAAGTGGGCTATGTTTGTAAAAATTGGAACATGGCTGAGCTGTCTACCTCAGATAAATTACGAATGGCCCATCCTGTTCTCCCTTAAACTCTCTGTACTTTTCTTTGCTCCTAGCCAGCTGTGTGTGAGAGAATGCCCAATTTTGTTGGCTTTCGGAACAACAATTCTGGAATTTAGAATACAGGTCTTAAACTCACAAATGGGACATCTTTCTTTATGTTGGTCTTCTATGTCTTAATTATTTCTCCATATTTTTATCTTTAGTATTATTTTAGATTGTGAGCTGCAGGCAGGGTCTGCTGTAGGTTTTTATTTTTTTATATCCAGATCATTCTGAGACTAGATTTTCAAGCAGGTTTAAAATAAATTTTATAACAGTAAATTCAGGGGTGAGGAAGCAAAAACAAATTCATGTCCATTTAAAGGTATGGCAACAATTTCATTAATTTAAATGAATCTGAACAGTTCTTTATACCAAGTTCCTAATGAGCAACACTGAAGTTGATGGTGTCAACAGAAATAAATAATTATTCTTCCAATTAATTAATAGAGAAATAAATAAAGGAGAAATAGAGTTGGGCGTAATCCACATACTGGTAAAACAGAACCCCAAAACTCCAACAACTTCTCCCAATGGTTTCATGTAGATGTTAAATTGCATAAGGAACTAAACAAAACTCTGAGGGACCCACAGGATGGGGTGTTGAATAGGATTTCCCCAGCACCACTTTCTGAGTTGTCCCTTCCAGGAAGGATAGAACCACTGTAGAACAGTGCCTCCAAGTCCTATCCCTATCCCAGAGAGATGGCTCAGAAGAATCCCACAGTCAACGGTATTGGAAGCTGCTGAAAGGTCTGGCAGAACCAACACACTCTCTGTCCAGTTTGCAACATAAGTCATCCTCCAAGAGCTGTGTCCACCTCATAACCAGGTCTGAAGCCGTCACTTCATTTTTTTAATTAATAAAGAAAATGGCCATTGTTTTTATTAAACTAAAAACGTGCTGCTCATATACAAAGGAAAAGGCAGCTTTAACGCATATAAATGCATGTTAACAGTACTTTGCAAATTGAATCTTTTACGCTATACGGTGGAAAGTACTGATATTTGTTTGCTGTGTTGATTTACTATGTTTCCTATTGCTACCTTGGGATATCTGTTACATATGAGATAAAAGACTCTATTATGCATCTCTTTTGAAGCTGATGCCTATTTATTTTCTAAAAGGAGAGAGGAGCAGCAGAACATATCAAAACACAGTGGCATATAAAGCAAGGAACAAACAAGTAGCATCCATTTTAACTCTCACTAGGTGGCTCCAACAGCCAGGTATTATCAGTTGTGTGTTGCTTATACTTCTTTAAACCTTGTTCACTGTAGCTCACCATAAGTGACTTTTACATAAATTCTGAATATACTAAAGACATTCATATTTAGCCTACTGTGCTTAGTAGTATATTCTAGGGGGAAAATGGCACGTTCTAATTTGAAAGGGGGAAAAACACATACCATCAAACCTTGTTCTTAAATCCACTGAGGACTCATTAGTGCTTTTAAAAGTAGTATCCACTCCCCCACTGACCAGTCACTCAGGATGGAGTGCGCAGGATCTATTGCACTTGTAAAACCTGTGGCATGTTTGCTTTCTTGCTAAACAAGGCGCCTGGGTAGAAGTGCTCTAAGTGTAAGTTGGTGGTCCTCTTGTAAGGCAAGGTCCAGCAGCTGGAGGCCTGTGTTTCTAATCTTTGCACTATTAGGGAGCAGCCCGGGTCGGTGGGGCTCGTCAGCCTTAGAAGGCAGCCCATCTAGGAGAAGGAAAACTCCAATTTCAAACCTCCACTGCTTGGTGGCTATATCCACTGATGGAAAAGGCTTAAGGAGTTAATTTCGAGGCAAAAGCCAGAGCCAGAGTCCCGGAGGCAGTTTGTGCCATTCTGGCAACTCCTGTGATGTCACTTGGAACCAGTTGTATTGGCTCTTGCCTTTCCATTGGACTATTTCAGCGACGTGGAGAGGGGGGATTTGCTGCTTGGGTAATACCCTATCCTCCATATTATTTTTCCTTTCCTTTCCTTTTACTTTATTTAGATTTATACCCCACCCCTCTAGACAAAGTCTACTTGGGGCGGATTACAAAAAATGATAAAATACAATAGAATAATTGTATTTCCCAGGTTTCGTGCTCTGGACACTCTACCTACACATATAGCATCAAAATAACACGGGAAGTAACAATTACTGGTTATGTCTTTGCTCGATTGGTGTAGAGCATGATTCAGGAGCTATTTCTAATGGTGGGAGAGGGCATTGCACCTCAATAGGTGGCTACCTCCTGCCTTAAGCTGGACAGTCCTCAGCCAGTAAGGTGCTGCCTCACCATGGGGTTTAGGGTGAAAGTCGACAAGCAGATCGATAACCTTGCACCATTCAACAATCATAAGAAAACTTCCGCCCTAAAGTTGTGCACCTGGAATGTTTGGACAATGACCCCTGGCCTTTCTGACGACCTGCAGGAAATAGCCAATGTGCACAAGACAGCTGTCATCGACACGGAACGGAGTAGGCTGCAGATGTACATTGCTGCCCTGCAAGAGACAAGATTGCCAGACACAGGATCTGTCAAAGAAAAAAACTTCTCATTCTTCTGGCTGGGAAAACCATTAAATGAGACCAGGGAATATGGTGTTGGTTTTGCAGTCAGAAATACTGTGCTGAGATCCATTGTTCCACCTACTGTGGGGAGTGAAAAAATCCTGTCTCTGCAGCTCCATTCATCAGCGGGACTGGTCACCCTTCTTAGTGCATATGCACCAATACTGTCGTCTACAACAGAAGTCAAAGAGAAATTCTATGACGATTTGGCAGCTGCTATTAAAAAATCACCAAGAGAGAGACACTGTTCATTCTAGGAGACTTTATTTGTTTGTTTGTTTGTTTGTTTGTTTGTTTGTTTGTTTGTTTGTTTGTTTGTTTGTTTGTTTGTTTGTTTGTTCGTTCGTTTGTTCGTTTGTTCGTTCGTTCGTTTATATGCCGCCCACACTACCCAAAGGTCTCTGGGCGGCTTACAACATTTAAAATACAATAAAAAGTCACAACAATTTAAATGCAATTAAAATATAAACTCAAAAAATTGCCATTTGAACTACAACTCCCATAATGGAGGCCAGCCCCAGGACAAGCAATGATTTCCTGATTCTGAGTGCAAGCAGTTCTGCCCTTTAATCCTGTCACTAATGATTTCATCTTGCTCAAAGTTTCCAAGCCATTTTGCATTTGATTTTAGTTAATTACCTAGTAATCTACTGGCTAAAACTACAAATAATAATCTGGTAAACAACTCTGGTCCAAAAGAGCTTTGTTGCGAACTGAGTCACAGACAGAAGACCAGCAAATTTGGTTCTCATTGTCTCCCTCTTACAGAAGTCAAGGATTAGGGAATATCCCACCAACTCACCCCACCTTAGCCACTGTGGGTAATAGCAACAAAGATTTTAGCACCTCCTGATTTTTGCTCACTCCTGTTTGTTTTGGCTCCAACACAGAAATGAGAAGTTGGAGAGACTGGGTCAGGGAAGGAATCTTACAAAGCTTTGGTATGGTTTCACACCAGAAGAGATGCAGAAGAGTCCTTTGTTAGTGGCTTACCTCAGTAAAAATGACTGAAGGGCAGGATCAGTACCTTTCAGCACATTGTCCAACGTCTGTGTTATCCTTGTTCTGTCATGAACCTTTCTGGGGTGCCTGTCGATTTGTCTGGCATTGGCTGGTCGTTCCTTCCCTGCCTCTGATTTGGGTTGGGTCCCGCCTTCTGTTCTTATTTCTCCCTCTCTCTTTTCTGTTGAAGCAGGCTGTGGACTGTTGAGGCCTGTTGTTCAAAGCAATTGTGTTTTTAACTTGCTGTCATCTGTTTACTGTAAGCAAATGAACCCTTTTATTATTTCTACTATCAATTTCTCAGAGTGAGTTATTGAGACTATAATGAGAAAAAGAGGTGGCCTACTCTGGGGAACCTGAAGCCATTCTGCTTTGTGAATCCCTGCACTTTTGCTGCACAGCTAGAGGCATTTTTTTTTTAAAAAAAAACTCTGCAACAAAAGCTGCCAAACTATCATCTCATCATGCCTAATAACCTCTGCAATTACAGGCATTTTCTCCGAAGGATTTCAGACCAAAATATTTCTCAGATCTATCTGGAAATGTTTGGGGCTGAGGTCTGGAACCTTTTGAAAACTACCATCCCATATCAGGAAAACAGAAGTCGCTGCTTCTTCCACCTTACTTATAAAGCATATTGATTGTGTGTCAAAGCGATAATTAGCCAATGAATGCTATTTAGTAAATAGACTACAGGAGGTTATTTCAGTTTCACTTGATCATAACTTTTAATTTTACATAATACTTCCCTGTTGACTCATATCTGTGAAATACCAACAAACAACAATTTTCTTCTACTCCTCCATGAGAGCAGTCTGGAAGCAAACTATTTTAGCAAAAGATTGTTCCATAAAAGCAGTTTCATGGGGGAGCAAAAAGGGGAAGAAACAACCAGAAGTGTTACAGCACTCCTCCTCTGCTGTGTTTGGGGACTTCCGTTAAGTGTTAGTGGTTGTCACTTACACAGCTATAAATGAAATGTCTTGCCCATAAGCTACTTCAGCGGAAGAAGAAGTGTTGCATAAGAAGCTTCTAAGACACCCAAAGATCTGTGTGGCATTTCTTCACAGCTGTGCATTTCTTGTCTGAAGGGTACAACTTAGTTCTTGAAGGTAAGTAAGAATTCGAACATATCATAGAAATAGATTTATGCTTCTCACATGTGGATTTCTTTATCTGCCCTTGTTGTTGCAAATTCTTTTGATGATGATTGTATAAATTAATGAAGAGAAACCTAGAATGACAAGAATTTTTTAATCAATTTAAACTGTGACCAAGATGGATGGGCAGTGAATGTATACCATCAAACAATGACCTGTATATATCTAATTTTTGTTACAAATCTTCCTAAGTAAATGGACAGACAGAAAACAAAGTCAGTTGTGAAAAGGACAGATAAATGCTAATTCATGCTGACTTTGCCATGTAAGAAATGTGTGTGAAATGAAACAACTGTATAGAGAGCAAAGACCAAAAAGATAATCAGCCTCTTGGTGTGCATGTGTTGACAAATCAAACTTTTCTTAGGCACAGTGTACAGATGTAATAGACCATATCTGAGGCAATATTGTGCAAAATAGCTATTACAGAGAAACAATTTGGAAATTGACTCCCCCAGCTTAAAATAGCATAGTTGTACAGCTGCTCAGAAAGAAGCCAGGAACATTTTGAAATTCTGTTACAAAATGATTGCAGTTTACTTCTGCTCATTTCTAAAATGGAATGAATAACCTATGTTCTTTTTCCTCGCTTTTTTCCTTTCTTAATCAGGAAGCAATTTACCTCAGGTTTTCCTTTAGGACAGGCACAAGAATGGTGGCACAAAGACATAATTGCAATGTAAAGTTTACATATGTCCACCTGCAAACAGTCAGCTGAGACTTCTCTGCCAGTTCATGAAGTATCTGTTGAATAAAAGAAACATATTTTCTTTCTGAAACAAAACTAAACCAGTTTTCTATTCTAATCTGATGCTAGACTTAATGGTAGTTTCCAGTTTATTTTGTTGAGACCCAGTGTGGTGCTGTGGATAGCGTGGCAGGTTAGGAATCAGGACTTCAATCTCTATTCAGCCATGGAAACTCACTGGGAGGTGGGAGTGGTAAAACCATGCCTTTAATATCTTGCATACCTTGAAAACCCAGTTAGTTTTACCATAAGTAGAATGTATGTTGATGGTGTGTAACAACTGATTTGTCTATGAACAGATTACAGTATGTGAAAAATAATGTACCCTGTTTTCCCTAAAATATGACCTAACCTGAAAATAAGCCCTAGTTAAGTGAAACCCCGCCCTCCACCATTGTGCAGCAACCAGAAGGTGACATGACTGCATTTGAATAAATGTAGATGGTTGTACATGACAAAAAAATAAACATCCCCTGAAAATAAGCCCTAATGCGTTTTTGGAGCAAAAATTAATATAAGACCCTGTCTTATTTTTGGGGAAACAGGGTATATACATTGCTAGTTCAAGTATTTTATATATGTACACCTGCCATTTGTTTCTCAACACCTGGAGTGCAAAACCTTCTTGGCCCCAAGCTAGTGTCAGCTGGAGACTTTAGACATAAATTGATGTGTACTGTATGTATGTACATCCTGATGTGTGAGTAGGATATCACACATTTGAGATCACTTTGAGATCACTAATCACCTCTCCCATTAGGTGCTCAAAATTAGAGACCCTGATGGAGGGAGAGGATTTGGCCACCAAGGCACAATATATTTTCAGGGGCCACATGTGGCCTTCAAGGTGTAATTTGTGCACTCCAGCTATGGGCCAAGGCTGCATACAGTCATTGTGCTTTTTGTTGCTGTTCTGCCTTTGAACACTTTCCTTTATTGCAGCATCACTTCAGCGCTCCTGGACCAACTCTCTTGAAGGGTCTTGTAGGGTACAAGCAGAATGTCTTGTGTTGGCACAAGGGGAAATATCTCTACGTTGCATGAGCAATTACTATACTGGGCATGAACTGTAAAACCAAGGGTTTCGTTTCTACGGTTTGCCACCTTATGACAGGGAAAGGGAAACGAAAGTTATTTACTTGAAAGAGCTACACAGCTGGAGTGAAAACACACAAATACTTGCCTTATATAAATACACACAAACAAACAAACATGCAACACCAATAAAAGTGGTATAAAATATTTAATTAATTACTTATACATTTAATCTCTTCTCTTAATACAGTAATATTAATTTGGTAGCCAAAGTTATAATAATTTACTGAGTGGCCAGGTTTCAATTTTTACATTAATAACTTTGGAAATTTTATAGAAAATAGAAACATCTTTTTACCTGACGTACTTGACAGTAATTTTCTTATAAATTTCAGTTTGTTTATTTTGAGATTTGACATACTGAAAAATAATTTTGAGGTAGTTGAAACTTGCTACTAATATTTTAAAACTGAAGTATCTGAGCAGCAGCCCAAACCATTGTTTTGACTTTGCTGCAACAAATTAACATAGTTGCCCCACTTTAATTTCTTTTGTTTTATGTTAGCCATTGATATACAACCATGATTCCTAGGAAAACCCATATTTCTTCACATCCCCCTGCAAATTTTAGCCAGTTAAACTCAAGCAAGGAAAGAATGTAATGTCTAATCCATTCTTGACAAGGTTATTAATTATAGCCTTTCAGTCAAGACAGAGTGTATCTGTGCTCATGCATATGTGTGAGCATGCAAATGTCCTGATACAAGTCTTCTCTCCTATTCTTTTTCCAAAGAATGTTGTCAGAAGGGTATCTCTGTGGAATTCCTTATCACGACCTCTTGAATTTCAAACTGTGTAACAAGCAAGAAGAAGAGTCACTGCATGAGCTGAGGTCTTTGAATGGTGTTGTTTATGAATCAACAGAGGAAATGCATGGCAGAAATCCCTTTTGGAGATGTAGGTCTGTTGGCAAGTTAATCTACTCTGTTTGTTCCAAGGAAAACAGAAACACTAGAAGACAAAAGGATACATTGTCTTCTCAAAACCCATCACTCAAAAGGCAAACATCCATAGCTATGGACATCTGTGTGGGTTCTGCTACAAGCAGAGAGACTTACTTGATTCCTTCTTCTTGTAAAAGCATGTTCAAGAATTATAATGATCTTCATATTGCTGGTGACCAGGTGATGCCTATAAGCTCAATGAAAAGAGATTTTACTTATGACAGTAGGCTAAGTCCATTCCTGGAATCATCAGAGATCCCACCAGCAATGGAATCCATATCAGTGCCACCTGCAGAAATACTGTGCAAGACAGTCCAGAGGTATTCATCATGCTGGCGATCGGCCAGCATTGTGCAACACCAGCAGCCCCTGTCTAATTCTATACTGAACAACTACTTGGAGGAGAAGGTGGTGGAGTTGTACAAGCAATATATCATGGATGGTTTGGGCAACAGCTCATCCCCCACTCAGATTTTGGCATCAGAGTTCATCATGACCAACGTAGATCAAATCAGCATGAAGCTTTCACAAGAGAAGAAAATGAACGCAACTAAAGCCAAAGATATGGTCATTAGCTGCCTATTGAGACTAGCCAGTGGAAGAGCCTCTGTTGAAATGAGCACTCCCAGCCTTCACATTTCCCAATTTAGCACTGTGACTAAATAAAGCTATCCGCAACTATAGTTCTTGTTGGGGGAAGAATGAAAAAAAAAGGCAAAATGTGGCACCTTAAAGATCAACGGATATTATTTCATGTAAACTTGTATGCTTTCTTAAACACAACATGTTGGTCTCATACACCTTTTATAAATCTCTTTAAACAATGGGTGAAATCCTGTTGCTCAGTTTAGTAAGTTGCATGAGAGTAGGCCCACTGAATCAGTGAGGATGTGGTGAATCAACTCTTCTGTAAGTTCCGTTGATCCAAATGGACCCACTCCAGTTATAACTTACTGTAGCATAATAAATCGCAACTAGATTAGGTCCCCTTGAATCAATGGACCTTACAAAAGAGTTGACTCACCAAATCTCCACTGATTCTATGGGCTTATTCTAGTGGAGCTTACTAAATTAAGTAATATCAAAAGTACATTTAGTAGATGTGAGGGAAAACTATGAGATATGATCAGTATATGTTCTGAAATATTTCAAATTATCAATTATATCACAAGTGAATGCCTGCAAAACTGAATTGCTTGGAAACCATATAGCAAGGATGGGGACAATTCAGCCCTTCAGAAATTTTGGATTACAATTGCTGCAGTCCTTTGCCCATGGCCATTCTAGGTGCAGCTGAGGGCAGCTGTAGACCAAAAATATTAGAAGAGCCAAAGGTTCCTCACCCTTGCTGTACAGAGACCTTCCATGCTCCTTCAAATGTAATTCATTCTTCTTTTCTTTCAGCAATTGATTCAGTGAGTCTACTGCAGCTGGAACTAGCAACTGGATACTGGCTAATTGTAACAAACAAACAAACAAACAAACAAACAAACAAACAAACAAACAAACAAACAAACAAACAAACAAACAAACAAATAAATAAATAAATAAATAAATAAATAAATAAATAAGACAGAGTATATCCACCTTGTTAATAGAGATTCTGTAACTAGATCTCCTTCAAAAATGTACTTGTTTCTTTGCACTACCGTGAGATAGAGCATCAGTCAATTTGATTTTCAAAATTCTGTCTTCATCACTATTACCACCACAGAGCAGCATCTTATCTATACAATAGTGCCTAAAATTAAACACTTGCATGAGCTGAAGAAAGCTGACTATAAGCAACAGATTTGTAGCACCTGTCTATCAACAATTACATCATTGTTAACAGTACAGTTTGGCTGATCTGCACTCAGGGAAGTAAAAGTCACTATGTTTAATGGTCTTATCCAACATAAGCAGAATTTATTTTTTCTCTAGAAAATCAGAGTGGAACTCACATGGTGTGTTTACTTGGGTGCAAGTTAAGATGCATTAAGAGTACACCCCTACATGCTCATGTTTTACATTAGGATAGAAGGACTGATCTGGAATTTCTTTCTTTTTACGGATATACTGTAGCTTTCATCCATTGTCTTTTCTCCTGTCTTTTGGGAGTTTTCTTGCTTTTTTACATGTAGGAACATATAAGCATCATTGTTGGGAAAAGCTGTCTGTACTGAACAACAAGGTAAGAATTTTTTAAAGAAACAGATGCCAAATAAAGCTAACAGACAACAGCACCATAGCCATCTCCCAATCATTTTTAGCAAGATCTCTAAGGAAATCACATCTACTTGAAAAGGAGAAGGTGCTGTGCTGTTACCTTATCTCTTCAAATGACAGATCCTACCTACTAGAAAGCATTACTCATGTATGTAACATATTTCAAGGACAGTCACTTGCCACCAAAATTAGTTCTACCTAAGGAAAGGCAAGTTGGAAAGTAGTGATTTTCACACTATAGTAGCAATTATACATTATCCCTTTGGAAACTTTATACCTTTAGAAGGTGGCAAGAATGAGAGGTAGAAAGGCAACATCAGTAAATGTTTTCCCTTTAGAGAAAAAAGTGCAAATTTTTATCATTCATTTCTCAGAGGAAGCAAAAGGAAATCTCCCATTAATTACCATTAAATGGTGGCTAGAATGGACATACAGTAATGTGAAAATTAATATAGAAGAACATTTCTGCAGTCCTTTGCCTTCACATCTGTGATTTTTTTGTTATTAGGATTATTATTTACTGTTATATCTTACTCTTAACCCAAGTGTTTCAAAGTGGAATAAATGGATCTCCTGTCCATTTCAATACTCACAAGAACTCTCCAAAGACTGAAAGATAGTGACTGGGTGAGTGAAACTCTGAGCCTTGACTTTCCCAATCATGCCTTATCTTCTAATGCCTCCCTGGCTCAGAAGTCTCATTGATTAGGGTTATACCTTGGGGTTGAATGAAGGAGAAATTCTCCAGTATCCCACATCACCTAAAGAAAAAATCATGTAAAAGAGGCAACTTAATGTTGCATTTGTATGATTATTCAAGAAATTATGTAGACAGGCTGTGCCTTTTATAAAACATTTGTGGAAAGACTTTTATAAAACATTTGTGGGAAGACTTGCTAAGCCTGTGGCACTGGCACAGTTTCATGAATGCTTATCATGTATATCATTTTTGTTAACAGTGGTGTGCACGATAAGCAGCTAAGAGGCTATGCCAATGCCATAGGCTCCCATGTCAGTAGGCAGCATGGGAGAAATGGGTATTATGTTCAGACATCATAAATCTTGTCCTGCCAAACTTACATGAAATTTTACTTCTCCAAGTGTGCAAATGCTTTTTGTGCTAACTAATTTTTCTCTCTCCAAAATCTTGTCTTCTTCCCCTATTTAATTGTTCAAATGACAGAAGATTTCCGACAAATGGCTAATAAAATTTGAGTGATACAGAGAGAATCTTGACAGCCGGTGTCATATTGTGGCTAAAGTATTGGATCATGATTCAGGAATAGAGACGGGCATGCAACACTTTGTGTTGGGTCATCTTAAGCTGTATGTCATATTCCTTCTCACCCTACTGGCTCCCGTACTCACCAGCCTGTGTGTGCTGCTTGTTCCCTCCCCATTGTGCGATCTTCCACACTGGCAGAAACACAGACTTCCCTTCTCTGCTTCCTCCATCAGCGGCCCTCTCACAGGCAGTGCTGCAGGAATCCTTGCCCACTTCCTTGTCTGAGTGGGCAGCTGCTTTCTTAAGGAAACCGTTCCCAGGTTGGAGATCTGCGGCTCTCCAGATGTTGTTGGCTTGCAGCACCCACAACAACAATAGCCAATTGTCAGAAATGATGGAAGTTGTAGAATACCTTAAGCCAGTGGTAACCCAAGGAATTCTTGGACTGAAATGCCCAGAAGCTTTCACCACCAGCTATGCTGGCCAGGGTTTCTGAGAGTTGCAGTCTAAGAACACCTGGATTACCCAAGGCTGGTAACAACTGTGTCAAGCAATATTTAGAAAGCCACAAATTCCACACCCTTCTCTTATTTTTAAAAACATATTATACAAATGTATTAAAGTCCTTTTAATGGTAAACAAGATTATAACTGGAACTCTGAGCACAATCATTACTAGACCTTTTAGAAATTCCCTTTTTAGATTACAGCTGTTTGAAATCCCTACCTGGGCTCAGGAAGTCTGGGAGCTGAAGTACAAAAAATGAACTTTTCCAAGCTCAGAGTAATACTGTGTCTTTATTGAGAACCTATGTTTAAAGCAAAAAGCAGGTGCCCTTGAAATGTGAAAAAAAACACATTGAATTGAAAACTATTAATATTTTGCATGCATTTCTGTCCCAGTTGAAGTACAGTATATTACTTTTAAGGCAGGAACAAGATTACTTACTAATGATTTTTTACGTTTTCTGTGGTATTTGTGCAAGAGGCAATGAATTTCATGCCACCTCTATTAAATACATTACAAGAGTCATTACACCACTGATAAATTTAAAGGCTCCTATAAGTGTTTAAAGACTAACAGCAGTTTCAAGAAGATAAGACAGTTTTAGTCTCTGTTCAATTTATATTCCAATTGTCATGAACCGTGAGCTTAAGTTTTTCAGTGACCCTGTGCCTCGATTCTGATTGTAAAGGTAAGATCAACTGAAAATATGAAAAATCACAGATCTCTCCTTCACTTTGATGGATTTAGATGACCTCTGATCCTTGTCTTTACCAGGACATTGGGAAAGCAAACCTGTCAATTACAGTTTTTAAGAAACAGGGCTGGCTGTTCAGCCAGCAATGTGTTGTAAGTGAACCTTCTACACAAAATATCTATCAAAGATTTAACTGGAAACAACAACTTAACTGCCATTTTAAATTTCTCACTATACCCCAGAATGACATGTCAGTACGGTCTCCTGTAAAACGCGCAGAAGACCCAATTCTAAAGAGCCCTAAATCATACCGGATGCAGTTATAGTGCTTCACAACCTCCTTCATTAGCTTTCACTCTGTAGATCATGGCTAGCAGTAGAATTACAGTCCTGTTTGGAATGTGCAACAGCTTCAGAGAATAGCGTCCATATGGAGTGGAGCAGGAATATTTAACTGCTTTAACTGCCCTGTTGAAGAAGCTCCGAATCACCCTGGGCTTCTTGCATGCCCATACAAGCCACTAAAGTTTGCTCTGACATTTTCCGGTTTAGAAATGCTGAAAAGGGAGGAGTGGTAGAATATATGGCACCAGTTGCTGTAACAGAACAATGACACACCCAGATTGGGGTGGGTGGGTGTAGGATGAAGCCTCAATGAAAGTCAAAAATTATCTTTCAAAACTCCAGGCCCTGAGACCCTGGGGAGTCCTCAGACCAATTTCACATGCCTCATTGTTTGCTAGACTTGCTGCATGCTTCTCCCTTTGATACAGTTACACTGAGTCTGTGTGTGATTTAGGATTGGGTGTGCAGGTGAATGTGGCATGGATGACTAGTTCTCTTTCGTAGGCTTTGACTGAAGAGGTCAAAGTAGTGCTACAGACTATCTTCCTTTTCATTTTAAAAAATGTCTGCTGCAAGCCTTTATTTGTAGACCCATATTTTTTTCTTACTGCGGGTGCCTGTGTGTTTTCCGGAGTGCATGCCCGTGCAACACTGTGATTTGGGTTTAGCAATCAGCACACATTGGTAAGTACTTAGAGAGACATTTTCCTGCTCCCAGCACAGATTTTCTCCTGTCCTTTTCCTTATATATATTGTACTATTTGGTGCACTTCAAGAGTGACACAGAAGAGATTCTGGTTTGAAGTCACAGAAATACTTCCTGCCTTCCTTTTTTCTTTGTGGCATGGAACAACTCTTCCTGTGCCACTAACATATTTGCATTGGGAATTTCCCCTTCAGAGGATCCAGGAACAATTATAAGTGAGCAACAACGTCCAGTTGATGCAGTGAGATTCAGGGAAGAGCACACCAAGGACTAGAGTTCATGGGGAGAGACCCACACTGAAGATGCACCACATTCCCCAAAGTAATGGCGCTCTAATCCTAGGCCATTGCCTTTTGTTTTCCTGATGCACAGCTCTTCCACCCATTCAGAAAGTTACACATATTTGCACAAAACCCAAAACAAATAATTTCAGGGCCTCTTCAAATACAGCTTGAGCAGATTGACAAGATATGCAGTTACTTAAACAGGCCACTCAAAGCATCTTACAAAAAGTGGCACAAGGTTGTTTTATTTTTCATCCTGGCCTTCGTGACTGTCTCCTCTCTCCAAGCTTCCCACCTCTTGCAACCCTGTAGTGCACTGCTGAACCCGTTTCATCCTGAATACTTCCTTTTGAGGTGAAGTCACTAAATGCTTGAAGTCTCCCTGAGCTGGAATCACTCTCACTTTTTCCCCTGAATCCTGGATTTAGCCAAAGAAATTAATAAATCCCTGGCTCCGCTCCAGGATATTCATTAGCCTGGCCTCTCTTGGGATTGAAGAAAAGAGAAGTCTTAGCTAGACTTCTCTTTTCCTGCATTGCTCCAGCTG